TACACCCCTCAGATAAGGGGAACTACTGTATACAAGATTAATAAGGTCGCTTAAAATTCATTTATAAAATCATGTCTTAAAATATTTGCACCAATAACAAGATGTAGTCAAATTATTTTATCTCATAAAAATTAACATATTTTACTTTGCAATAAAAGTTAAAATATGTTAGCAGTCTATATCATTTTATTTAATTACATGGAAAAAGTTACATTATGATGTCTTATTAATAAACAGTTATTTGTAATTACTGCCAAAAGTCAAAAACCAGTTTGATACATACACCTTAAATGCCATGCCTTTTTATATCCTTTTCTTTATTAATAATTTGTAATTTTACCTTCAAATTATACTGCATCACTTTAAATTAAATAACGAGAGTACATATGTATAACTTGCTTTGAAAATACATGAATTATGAAAGCTACACTATTTCAAACTTAACAGCTTTCAATAATACCTTATACAATATATTCCATAATTAATTTTTTTTTTTTTTGAGACAGAGTCTTGCTCTGTTGCCAGGCGCCAGGCTAGAGTGCAGTGGCGCAACCTTGGCTCACTGCAATGTCCACCTCCTGGGTTCAAGCAATTCTCCTGCCTCAGCCTCCCGAGTAGGTGGGACTACAGGCATGCACCACCATGCCCAGCTAATTTTTGTAGTTTTTAGTAGAGACGGGGTTTCACCATGTTGGCCAGGATGGTCTCGATCTCTTGACCTCGTGATCTGCCAGCCTTGGCCTCCCAAAGTGCTGGGATTACAGGCGTGAGCCACCGCGCCCGGCTCATAATTAATTTTTTATAAATTTTTATAATATTACTGTAAATTGTGAGTTTAGGAACCCGCAATTGAACTGATAGTAAAATAATCTTTTAGCATGACAAAAGTTAAATAAATTAGAGCATCTAAATCCCTTAGGATATGTCTTAGCCCGTTTATACAGTAAGCACTACATAATTGCTGGCTGCTGTTACTTGTTACTGCTGTGGCTATTGCTGTCAGCATCGTTATCATCGACATCGTCGGAGTCAGTAAGTCACGTTGACAAACAACTTCGTCTTTCCGACTTTGAAATTTCAACTCCAATGTTTGCTCCTGAACTAAATAGAACTCTCTAAAATGAAAGTTCTGACACTGGAAAGTTCCACAGTGAACATGAGAGCAACAGTGAACCTAGGGACTCCTAGGGTTAAGAGTCATGAATCAACCCTGCGTGCACACACGTGCACACACACTTATTTTTTTGTTCATCAAAGGAAAAGTCATCCTGCAATGTTTCCCCCACCTGGTTTTGTATTCTAAAATAAACTGCAGATGAAGATTAAAATTTAAAGACAAACAATGTAGGAAAAAAGTAGGATAATACTTTTACAATTTCAGGATGCATATGCAGAAGGACTTCTTAATCAGAAAATAAACAAAGATAAAGTATAAATAGAAAGTTAAACAAAGATAAAATACAAGCAACAGAGTTTCTATGAGTGACAATGATGTGGAACATCACTAGTAATCACGAACTTGAAAAAGAAAAGGCAAAATAGATCATACTCCCCTCCCAATCAGATTGGTAAAATTTTAAAAGATAAGTGCTGGGAAATTACATACGCTTAAGCATTGCTAGTGAGAAGGTAAGTTGGCAGTCATTTTAGAAAGCTGATGAGAAGTAGCTATATGTTTAAAATTCATATACTCTTTGACAGAGCAAATTCACAGTGGGGACAGATTCATTATACGAAAATACTTCTACATGCCCAAAAGTACATACATGTAAGGACAGCCAATGAATTCTATTGCTTGTAGTAAATTGTTTTTGTCCAAACACCAATTCCTCTGTAGCAAAACATAGGAGCTAGTAAAATGGATTACGTGTGCAAATCAGTCCTCTTTAGAGACATAAAGGAGCAAGTGTATCCTGATTAAAAAGATAGAACTCTTTCTAAACTTTTTGATAATTTTGAGAAATGATGGAAGCATATTAAAATGAAAACAACCTGAGAATGTTATGCTTTTATCTTTGTATGTTCAAATATCTTTTCCCATTAAAACTCAGATAGGCCAGGTATGATGGCTCATGCCTATAATCCCAACACTTTGGGAGGCCAAGATGGGAAGATCCCTTGAGGCTAGGACTTCAAGACCAGCCTGTGCAACATAGTAGGATCCTGTCTTTACAAAAAGCTTGAGAAAAAAATAGCCGGATGTGTTGGAGTGCACCTGTAGTCTTAGCTACTTGGGAGGCTGAGAGGGGAGGATCACTTGAGCCCAGGAGCTCAAGGCTGTATTGAGCTATGATCTCACCACTTCACTCCAGCCTAGGCAACAGAGCAAGATCTTGTCTCTGAAAAAAAAAATTATATACATATGCATATATATATATATATATGCCATATATATATGTTAATGAGATGGCACAAATGAGAAAAACTCTACTCTTTGATCTTTGAATTCATCTCTGTAGGCACATATTTCCCTCACTCCAGGTTTTGCCCAAGATACTTGCGCAAAGACAAAGCCAGCACACCCTCTAACAGAGTGAATATGGTTATGCCACCTACTGAGCTTTCTAATCTTGAAGGTAGTTAATATGTAACCGCTTGAAATTAGCATTGTCGTCAGAGTCAGGAGCTGTGAGAAGCGTAAGTGTTCTCTTTTTCAGGACAATGTGCACTAAGCGTACAACTGGTACAATTAAATAAGTTATGTTCCATCCCTAGAAAGCCCTCCAGCAATATAAGGGGAAAAAATTATTCTATTTATTTTTATTAAGGCCCATCTACCTCCTAATTCTAATTTCTCTCATTTCCCAAACATCCCTTGTTTGTTCTTAATGTTATGTGTTTTCTTGTATTTTGCTGCTCTTCTTTCTTTTCCATCAACTATCTTTTTCCCTTACTTTATTTTCTCTTTACCCCTTCAGCTCAGCCTTCTAGCAGTATTCGCTGCATACCGCAAAACTGTATAGGACTTGTTCAAGCTGTGTGCTCCCTTTTCTGTCAGGAACTTGCTACTCAGGTAACCCAACTGGTGATTTTTCCTGGAAATGCTGATGAATGCTGTTCCTTTGGCGAAGCCCAGAGCAGATAGGAAATAGATGTCATCCTCAGTCACTAGGATTCAAACTATAAAAATTAACTTATGGCCAGGCGCGGTGGCTCACGCCTGTAATCCCAGCACTTTGGGAGGCTGAGGCGGGTGGATCACGAGGTTAGGAGATCAAGACCATCCTGGCCAACATGGTGAAACCCCGTCTCTGCTAAAAAATATAAAAATTAGCTGGGCGTGGTGGCACGTGCCTGTAGTCCCAGCTACTGGGGAGGCTGAGGCAGGAGAATTGCTTGAACTCGGGAGGCGGAGGTTGCAGTGAGTCGAGATTGTACCACTGCACTCCAGCCTGGCGCCTGGCAACAGAGCAAGACTTTGTCTCAAAAAAAAAAATTTTTTTTAATTAACTTACACCGGGATAATAAGGATCAGAATGCTAAAGCTGTGTTACACCTAGCATCTTGTATGAAACTACCCCATGAAGGTGAGACCACAGATATTATTGCCCCACTATTGGCATGAAAGCTGAGGCTCAGGGCAGTTAACTGAGTTACCCAGGACCACATGGCTCAGTTAGAAGCAGGGCTCAGGTGTTGTGGCAACTAACTGGTCTAGTTATTTTTTCCCTTAAGCTCATTTTCCCCCGATAAAGAATATGGGGCTCTGTCTTGGTGAGAGGGGATTTTTAATAACACTCTCCTCTTTATCTGTGATTATAATGAATGTGGCATTGCTCCCATTAAGGACCATTCCTCCACCCACATTCTGAACACATCTGCTGCATGCGTCCTTCAGAGACCTTCCTCTGGAATCATCCCTTCTCACTCCAAAAAGCTCAGCCTGTCCCCTGTCATTTGCACCTCCCACTCAGCATTTTTAGAAGCAATACTTCATTCAAACTTGTTCAAGTCTATCTGCACCTAAAGAAATGTTCCTTTCACCCTGGCATCTCCATTAGGTACTGCCCTGTTGCTTTTCTCCCCTTCAGACAAACTGCAAATCTGGCTGCAGTTCCTCACGTTCCCCACTCCCCTCAGCAAGCCTCTGCCCCACACCAGCACTGAAACAGCTCAATCCAAATGTCCTTGTCCCTAAACCCAGCAGAAAAAAAATCAATCTGTTATTCGATTGCACAGAGGCACTTGTCACGGGTAGCCAGGAATTTATCATTAACAACCTTTATAGATTATCTTTGTAATTTATGGTGAGGCATCAAATGAACGCTATTAACATTAATCCCTTCTATTTTAAGTAATTAGTCTTAGAAGTGCTCACTTATTTCTAGCTTCTTAAAAACAACTTAAATTGTTATATTTTTAATCAATACATTAGAAAATCATACAATCATTTATAATAATTGTTTAAACGTGTGCTCTTAACATTGATGCTTTGGTATAAAGTCATGATCACTGTGATTTAGTAGTAACCTTCTATTGACTATTTTCTTTTTTTTTTTTTTTTTGAGACGGAGTTTCACTCATGTTACCCAGGCTGGAGTGCAATGGCGCAATCTCAGCTCACCGCAACCTCCGCCTCCTGGGTTCAGGCTATTGACTATTTTCTTACTGAAGCGGCCCCTTCCTTGGGACTCAGAGGCCTCACACTCTCCTGCCTGTTCTTCCCTCTCTAACTAGCCCTTCTTGCTCCATTGGGGTACTCCTGCCCATTGCCTAGATAAGGGCATTCCCTGAAACTCTGTCTCGGGCTTTTTCTCTTTTCATCAACATCTTCTAACTGGGTATTATTGTCAACTTCCATGGCTTCAGCTTGCCCAATATACTGCTAAACCCATAGTCTGCTTAAGTAGAGCAGATCTCATGTAGCTGGTGGCCTTCAGTCTGCTTTTAACCAAAAATAAGGGATTTTGTACATTTTCAGTAAGCAGTTCCCAATGTAACACTGTAATCACATTTTAAGGATACGGACGATTGAGACAGATATAGTGACAAAGAAAAAAGAAGGTTAGGATGTAGGTTTTAATGCTGTAACAAACAGACCTCAAAATACAAAGGCTTAACGAAGAGAATGCATTTCTCTGCCACATGAAGTCCCAACTAGAGTGGCCTTTTGATGATTCGAGGGCTTAGGCTGTGTCTTCTTTGTGGCTCTGCCTTCCTTGACACATGGCTTCCATCTGATGGGCTACAGTGGTAGGTCTGACTACGGTCAGCACGTCCACATTCCAGCCTGGGCAAGGAAGAAAGGGGAAGCACAGAACTTTACCCTTCCTTTCGAAGGTCATGAACTGAAAGTTGCATGTATCACCTCCACTTGCCTTCCAATCACCAGAACATAGTCATATGCCACACTCAGGGAGAGGATGAAGAAATAAAAGTCAACTAGATAGTCTGCACCCGGCAAAGGCTCAGGAGTTCTATTATTAAAGCAGAATTGGAGACGTGGTAGCAGGAAATGACCAACAGCGTCTACTGCGTGTATATGAAACCGATGTCTCCCAAATCATTACTCTCACTTACTCTGTCTGACACACTGTATTTTTTTATTATATTCTATTTCCTTTTTCAAAATTCTGCTCATGCCTCACAGGTCATGATGTTATAACCCCCTTAGTTGGTGATGCCATAATCTGAAAAATATTGCTGTAAGCCTGTATTTTATCTAATATTGGCCACTTGAAGTATGGCTAGCCGAAATTTGTCTATGTTGCAAGTATAAAATTCACACCAGCTCGTGAAAACAAATTATGAAAAAAGTCTTTGAGATATCAGTAATAATTTTATATTGGCTAAATGTTGAAGTAATCATATTTTGGATATACTGGATTAAATAAATACACTATTAAATTAATTTAACATTTATCTTTATGTGGTTACTAGAAAATTTAAAATTACATAGGGGGCTCACATTATATTTCTACTATATCACACTGCTCTAAGCTCAAGATTCAAATGTCAATATTGTGTGAATATCCCTCAAGCACTTTTTCACACTGTACTCCCTTTTCCCAACCCTTGGCCCTTCTGTTCTCCTTCTGCTCCCACCAATCTGTGTTTCCTCCGTTTCACTCACTCAGCTAAAGGCAACACAATTCACTCAGTGACCAGCCAGGAAAATGGAGAGACACATTTTCCTTTATTCCTCACATTCATATATTCACTGAGCACTGTCATTACCCCGTAAATGTGATATAAATCTGCAAGCTCTTTTCAATACTGCCGCAAATACCAAAATTCAAAATGCCATCAGGTTTCACCTATATTATGACACCAGCTCCCATCTGCTCGTCCTGCATCCTGGATCACCTCTTTCTAGCGGCTCTTTCAAATTTCACTGAGAGCAAGCTTTGCAGGAAACAAAGCTGAAGTCAATCCACTGATTACTCCTCTGAATACCTTAATATTGTTGACGAGTTCCTTCCTGATTTGAAGCATCAAAAGGAGTATTTCCTCCATACCAAATAGTTTTCATTTCATGCATGCGCCGTGATTGTTCTCCCTCCTGGGACTTTGCATATGTCATTCTTTACGCTTAGAAAGCTCTTTTCAAAAAGATGAAAATCTTTTTGCTTTTCTAGACAACCACTACTCATACTTCAAAGCTTAATTTACATTTTGCTTGCCCTCAAAATCCTTTTACAAGGTTCCAAGTCTGTTGTTATGTGCCCCTTTTATGTGCTCCTAGAGCATCCTGAACTTCTCCAATAATAATGTTTGGCTACCCTATTTTATTGCTTGTTTTTCTGTCTGTTTTTGCCCCCACAAGAATGTAAAACCTTCAAGTGCCTCTCTGTTTTTATACTTATTCGACCACTCTATCTCTACAAGCCTGCATGATGTCTAGCCCCAACAGGATAAATAAATACTGACAAAGCAACTGAACAGCTACGTGAATAGACGGATGAATACACGCATGGATGGATGGATGAAACTGTTTTTATGACTTAAAGGTTGCAGAGGAGTATCATATTTAGAAGGCAGTAAGGAAGTTTGCACAGTGGATGGCAAAGGCAATGGGGAAGTTTGCTAGGCACAGTAGGTCAAAATTCGTTTCTGAAGTCTTGTTACTTCACCTTTCTTAGTTTCACTTTCTTAAAACAGAAAACGCTTTTCTACGATCATTCTTCCAGGGCCTGGCTCTTCATCTGCAATCCAGTAATATCTCTAATGTCAAAAACCTTCTGGTTTCGTTCACATTACTTTCAAAGACGACCACTGAATTCTGAAGTGGCTTCAAACCTTTAGGGTAGGGATGTCTAATGGAGAACTTGCAGCCACACTGACTTGGAGTGAAGTGTCTATTCAGAGCCTGCCCGGTGTTGCTTAAATGGTAGTCTCCCTTGCCAGCTATTCATAGAAGAGATGTGAGAAGCACCATAAAAGGCGTTCTGAGGAGTTGTGGGGGAGTGAGGGAGAGAAGAGGTTGAAAAGCTGATTAGCTGCTTTACAGTAAAACCCAGAGAAAGTGAGCTCTTACGGGAAACTGGATTCAGCCCTCCAGGGATTCTACTTAGCCCGCCAGGAATTAACCTTGACTATAAATAGGCCATCAATGACCTTTCCAGAGAATGTTCAGAGACCTCAACTTTGTTTAGAGATCTTGTGTGGGTGGAACATCCTGTTTGCACACAGAGCAGCATAAAGCCCAGTTTCTTTGGAAAGTGTTTGGGACCAGATGGATTGCAGGGGGTAGGGCACAATACAGTGTGGTCTCCTCTGGCTCTTTCTCCCTGCAACATGGGGAAGAACAAACTCCTTCGCCTCAGTCTTGTCCTCCTCCTGGTCCTCCTGCCCACAGATGCGTCAGTCTCTGGAAAACCGTGAGTTCCACACG